ATGGAATGTCTTTTTTCCATCCTTTCACATTCAACCTAAATGTGTATTTGAACCAAAGGTGAATTTCTTCTAGATAATATATAGATGGATCATGGTATTTTTAAATGAAAGAAAGAATAACATTCTCTCACTTTAAATAAAAAGCTAGAAATTTAATTAAGCTGAGCAAGGAAGACATGTCAAAAGTTGAGATAGGCCAAAAGCTAGGTCTTTTATGCCAAACAGTTAGCCAAGTTGTGAATGCAAAGGAAAAGTTGTTGAAGGATATTAAAAGTGCTACTCCTGTGAACACACAAATGATAAGCAAAATAGCCTTATTGCTGATAAGGAGAAAGTTTTAGCGGTTTGGATAGAAGTTCAAAGTAGCTACAACATTGAAAGAAGTTCTACTGTTGGTAAAATTCTATCAATTAGCATCACATGCTACAGAGAAATTGTTCATGAAAGAAGAATCAATCCATGCAGCAAACTTCACTGGTGTCTTATCTTATACTAGCGGCCCGGTGCACAAAATTTGTGCATGGCGGGGGTGTGTCCCTCAGCACAGCCTGCATCCTCTCCATTCCGGGACCCCTGTGGGATGGGGCCTAAACCGGCAGTTGGACATCCCTCTCGTAATCTGGGACCGTTGGCTCCTAACCGCTCACTTGCCTGCCTGCCTGATTGCCCCTAACCATTCTGCCTGCCTGCCTGGTCACCCCTAACTGCCCTCCCCTGCCAGCCTGGTCACCCCTAATTGCCCTCCCCTGCCGGCCTAGTCGCCCCTAACTGCCTCTGCCTCGGCCCCGCCACTGTGGCTTTGTCCGGAAGGATGTCCGGAAGATGTCCAGTCTAATTAGCATATTACCCTTTTATTAGTATAGATAATAAAGAGCTAATATGCAAATTGTTGTCGCACCTTCACGCCATCAAGCTGTAACAGCTCAGACACTCAACACTGGGGAGAGAGGAATGGGGACCAGCCAGGCTGCGGCCCGGAGAGGGACAAGTCACCTGCCCTGCAGTCCCAGGCGCCAGCGGCTGCACCTGTGCCTGTAGCCTGGGAGAGGGACAGCCGCCAGCCCCATGTCCTGGGCGCTGCGCTGCAGCCAGCCCAGGCAAAGCC